ACAGGCCCAAATAGTCCCTCGTCAAAATGTCTGAATCCCAAATGTCGAGTCTGGATCCAATGTCGTCAAGTCCCAAGTCACAACTCTCTCTCTCTCTGTAGTAGTCCACTGATACTGAGAAGTCAGGTGGTGAGAGGGGAAGAAGAGATGGTGGACATAGAAGAGGAAGAAGAAGAACTCTCTCTCTCTCTCTCTGTGTGTCTAGTACTAACCTGTGAAGATGGCACCTTGATGCAGGTACCTCGAAGATGGAGCTGGAGCTATGGCGCCACAGGTGAGTCTCGCTGGCCTCCGCCAGCCATCTCTCTCCCACACTAGCACTACCACCTACTAGCGCCCAGCGCTGAAGACTACTGCTATGGCTACTAGCGCCCAGCGTTGAAGACTACTGCTAGCGCTAAGCTACTCCTGGCACCGCTCCTCCTGAGTGCTGCGGCCGAATCCTGAAGACTACTCGTCCCACTGTCCAACTACCTACCTGGGAAGTGCATGGGAAACCCATATGTACTACTCGGCCTGGACTGGCTGCAGGCGAGGCAGCGGTCCAGGAGGTTGCTCTTGCCAATGCCAAGGCCAGCCAGGGGCTTCCGCTGCAGCTCCTGCTGCAAGCTGGCATGGGGAACAGGCCAAAAATAGCCTGTTCCCAAAACCCTGGTTTTGTGCCTGAGTCTTAGGGTTGGTCGATCTTATGAGGGCCTGAACATGGCCCTCCGTTTCAGGTTAAAAAGCCTCTCGGCCTGAAAGACCCTGAAATAGGCTAAAAATGAAATAGGGCCTGCAGGCCCTCGTTTTGAGTTTCAGGCTGAAACGACCGGAGCCTGTAAGCCCTTATTTCTAGGCTTTCAGGCTGAGAATCCGGGACGGGCCATGCAGGGCCCGTGAGGCTACGCAGCATGCCACACCTCCCCCTACTTGAAAGACCGAGCTTACCTGCGAGGGCGAAGCTGTCTGTCTGAGGGAGGGACCACAGTCCGGGTGGGAGGGGCCGGTCGTGAAGGTTCCTGAGCTAACCTTTGCTTCTGATAATGCGCGTAGATCAGCGGTGCGGATGCTTTCAAATCTGCTCCTGAAATCCACCGAGTGTCGTCGCGATCGCAGGCTTTGAATGTAACTTTGTACTATCGCGGCTTGCTGCCGTACTTGCGATCGGTGATGACGCCGTCAACTTCCTGATGACCATCCATAGAAGGAGGGTCCTCGATCGTCGGCCCGGAAAGTCGTCGCTCTTAGCTGGCGTGTATGTTGCCAGCTTTGAGGCGTGAAAGACTGGATGGACCGTCAGATGCGGGGGGATGTTGATCACAAATGAAGGGCCATCGGGCTCATCGCCCGCGGCTGATGTTACGGGTCATGGTCCAAACCACTTGGGAAGCAGTTTGCGTGAGACATCCTGTTCTAGTGCAAACTCTTCAGCGGAAACCCAAACCAGGTCGCCGGCGCGGATGGGACATGGCACGCGATGCCTGTTGGCTTGCTGCTGCATGCGGACTTGAGCCTTTTGCATATTCGCGCGGGCTTGAGCCAGCAATTCCCTGTACTTCCGAACGGAAGCGGGAGAGCAAGTGGCATCGATGTCGGCTGGTCGTGGGAGGAGAAGGTCGGCGAAGATACGGCCTTTCCGTCCACCATGGCGCAACTTGAATGGAGTCACGCCGATCGCCGGGTGCACCGAAGTGTTGTAGGCGAACTCGATGTCGGGAAGGCGGTCAACCCAATCTTTCTAGTCCAGACGGATGAGCGTACGAAGCATCATTTGAGCGGTCTGATGTGCCCGCTCCGTCTGCCTGTCTGTCCGTAGATGCCGAGCCGAACTTGGCTTCATCTTCGTGCCGGACTCCTGCATGAGTGCAGTCCAAAATGCCGACATGAAGCGAGTGTCGCGGTCGCTGACTATGTCTTCCGGTACACTATGGCCGCAAATCCAGCCGGTGTGCAGGAGGCGTGCCAGCTTGGGAGCCGTGGAGTAGTACTTGCAAGGGAGAAAACGTGCGTGCTTACTCAATCGGTCCACGACCGTGAGGATGTCATCGTGTCCGAGGTGGTCGCGGGGGAATGGTCCGGTGACATCCATGGCAATGGAGAGATCGGGTTCCTGCGGGATCGGCATCGGGCGCAGCTCGCCGTAGGGGTTGCGGTTGCGGGGTTTTCTTCGTCGGCAAACTTCGCACGAGTCGCAATACCTCGTGACGTCGGTGATGAGGTCGGGCCATCGGAATCGCTATCGAAGCCGTGCAATAGTGCGTTTGACTCCGAAATGGCCGGCGAGTCGCGAATCATGATACTCGCCAAGGAGGCGAGTCCGAAGACGGCGGTCGCGTGGGACACATAGTAAGTCCTTGCCCCGTGAGTGCAGGAGCAAGTACCCATCAGCGATGCGGTAGTGGCTGGCCGGCGGGTGATCCGAAGATAGCTGCGCAAATAGCGTGGCGAAGTCTGGATCGGACTCATAGCCCTTGATGAAGTGTCGCTGGAGCTCCTCGTCGAATGCAAAGGCATGATGTGTCATAGCGCAACGAGCAGGTCTTCGCGAGAGTGCATCTGCTGCGCGATTATAGAGGCCGGGAAGATGTTTCGGTGTGAAGTCAAATTGGTCGATGAAGTACATCCATCGTCCGATCGTGCTGCTCACCGTATCCTGCGTCTTGTAGTAAGTCAGTGGGTTGTTGTTCGTAACCCATGTGAACCTACGACGTGCAAGGAGGAAGTGCCACCATTGCTTGAGAGCCATGACGAATGCGAGCAGCTCCTTCTTCCTTGCATCATCAAGCGAGTTGATGGGAGGCACTTTGTGGCTGAAATACTCCACAGGGTGCCAGTCGTCGCCATCGTGTTGTTCCAAGACTGCCCCAATGCCATAGCCGGAAGCGTCCGTAGTCACTCTCATCGGCAAGGTGGGGATATAGATGCGAAGGACGGGTGCCATGAGCATAGCCGTCTTAAGTGCTTGGAATGATCGGCGTGCGTCGTCATCGAATACGAATGGCACCTTTGGCGACTGTAACCTCGTCATAGGTGCAGCAATCCTGGAGTATCCGGTGATGAATCGCGGATAGTAGCCCGCCAATCCCATGAATGAATGAACGTCCGTGGTGTTGGTGGGCTCGGGCCATGTTTGTAGGGCCTCGATCTTGTCCGCAAGTGGACGGATGCCTTGCGGCGTCACATAATGTCCCAAGTACTCCAGCTCCTGCCGCTCGAATTCGCACTTGTCGCGGTTGGCTTTGTACTTGGCTTGTCGTAGTCGCTCCAAAACGGTGCGCAGGTGTTCCACATGCTCGTCCAAACTCCCGCTGTACACCAGGATGTCGTCGAGGTAGATAAGTACGTATCGATCCAGCATGTCTCGGAACTCCATTGTCATAGCCGCTTGGAAAGTGGCCGGGGCATTCGTAAGGCCAAATGGCATAACCAGCGATTCGAAATGCCCATATCGCGTCTTAAACGCGGTCTTGTAGCGATCCTCCTGCCGAATCTTGAGTTGGTGATATCCCGACTTGAGATCAAGCTTGGAGAAGAACTTGGCGCCGCCCAGTCGTTCGAGAAGGTCGTCGATGCGTGGGAGAGGGCCAGCGTTTCAGATCGTCTATGTGTTGAGCTTGCGATAATCGATGCACAACCGCAAATCCTTGTTCTTCTTCCGGACGAAGAGAACAGGAGCACCGTATGGCGATGAGCTAGCCTATATCCAGCCTTTCTCTATAAGGTCGTCGAGTTGTGCCCGAAGCACACTTAACTCTTCCTCGCTCATTCGGTAGATGCAACCGCGAGGAGGTACGGCCCCGTCCTTGAGGATGATCTCGTGGCGGATGGGCCGATCCGGTACTACTCCGTGCGGGCCTTCGAACACGTCGCCGTAGGCGTCGAGAAGCTCGGTGATGCGTGGATCCGAAGAAGAGTCCGTCGATGAAGCGTCATGGTGCGGGAGGGCGTGGAGAAAACACACCCCATCTCCTCGATGTCGTCTCTAATGATGGAAGCTCGCATGCTTGCGGCGGATACCACGTGGCAGCTGATCGAAGGATGAGGAAGAGGCACCGTGCATGGGACTAGTACTCGGTTCCGATCACGGATGTGAACGGTGCGGTGGTAGAAGTTCACCGAGTGATCCTCGCTTCGCAGCCATGACATGCCCAAGATCATGTCGAATTTTGTGTCCTGAATGTCAAAGGACGCCGCCTCACTTGCGTGAGCGCCAAAGTACACTGGGACGTCATCAATGCACCGGTCGATTGACTTGCGCGTGTGACTGTCCGCCAACGTGACTTGCGTAGGCTGGGGCTTCCTTCGGACGCGTGGGCCAAGGCCGGCGCGCACCATGAAGTCCTGGCTGATGTAGTTGCGAGATGCTCCGCAATCGATCAAAGCGTTGCTGGTCGCTTCTCCGATCTGAATGCGTACATATAGCAATGGTGCGTCGATGTCGTCGTACCGTTGCGTCTTGAACTCGCGGTCGATCTTCGCAATGTAGGCGTGAAGGTCGACAACCTCTACTCCGGCGTCCATCAACGGAGTCGGTACTGCAGTGTGCAAGTAATCCCGCAATTGTGCCATGAGCACGTTGCAATGCGGTTTCGGCAATCGACTGGTCGGGGGAACGGGCATCCACAGGAAGTCCGTGAACGTCAACGGGTCGAGCTCTTCAAGTCTTGACCATGACGTCGAACCCTGGCGATAGATTGCGGCGAAGCTGACGAATCGGTTGCCGATGGTGATGAAACCGTGCGTGCGGTAGATTGTTGCACGTGGAGAGGTTGGTCCAACGGTGGGACCAAGTGGACAGCATAATCCTCGTAAGTACACCGAGAACTTACGACATTCGCATCCTCCCCAGATGTGTAGGAGGCCGCTAGCAAGGCGGCCGAATCTGGCGGAGTGGGAGGTGGGGTCGCCTCACCTCCCGCGGAACTTAGTTTCCTGAGTTAAGACGAGGCCGCACATCCTCCTTGGCCTGATCCTGGCAAAGGGAGGTCTTGTGCTTGGTGTTTTTGCACCAGTAACAGCAGCCGTAACGGCCGCGGTACTTGTACTCGGCCTCAGTCAAGTTGAACTTGACCCATGGTGATGGCTGTCCGTTTTCGGCCTGCAATGCTGATTTCGCCTTCCCATTACTTCGGGACTAGTTGTTGCTTCGCGGCTGGACAACAGCCACCTGATCTCCCTCACGTGATGCTTGGGCGGCTGCCGGGTCTTCTCCACTGTCCGATTGGACTGCAGCGACATGCTGCGGCCGCGGACCAGTCTTTACCTTCTCCACATAGGTTGGCTGCCACGCTGACTTCTCGTGTGCAGCTGCCCTGTTGGTCTTGATGATCTCCCTCGCTTTGTCAATGATCTCAGCGAAGGTTGCATACTGCTCGCGATCACCAAGAGCAAGGCTCAATGCAGTGCATGACCTGTTGTAGAACTCACGATGCAGATGCGTAAATGGCAAGTCGAGATCGGGCGTTGCCGCGATCTTCTGCCATTCTGTGAGCCAGTCACGTGTTGTTGTGTTGCCTTGCGTCATGTTGAAGAGACGGTTGATGGCGAGTGCAGGTGCGTCGTCCACGATGAACCGCTTCTTCCACAGCCGTGTTAACTCTTCCCATGAGATCTTGTCCTTCAGATCTGCGACGTCGACGTCGTGGGTGGCGGCCAGGGGGGTTAACCAGATCTGGCATCCGCCCTTTGAGTTAAGAAACAGGGCGCCGATGTACACGTGCTTGGCGACTAACAGAATCCGAAGTTGCGTCGTGAAACCTTCCCACCAGAGGACCGGGTCCTGATGCGTGTAGTCATCGAACTTCTCAATTTGAAAAGTTGGCATCTTGTAATGTTGTGTGCTGTTGCCATTCTTGTTAGGCAACTGCAGTTGCTGGACTTCGGTCTTCAAGGTATCCAACTGATTGCTGATGGTGGTCCGCTCAGCAAAGGTGCTGATGTCGCCGAGCATTGCGACGACGTGGTCGACGCGTTCCTCCAGTTGGCGATTAGAGGGTGCACTGCTGGATACCCCAACGTCTGGTCCTGGTACAGCTTGCTCCAGGTCCAGTACACGGGAATTGAGTGCCCGTGTAGCATCCTCGTGGCTCTGCACTGTCCGACGGAGGTTTGCCAACTCCTGGTGCTGTTTCTTCAGATCCTGGTACTGTTGCTGCAGTTCCTGGTTCTGTCTCTCTAACTCGGACTGTTGATAGCTGCAAGCGTATAACAACCGTGTCACGAGTTTGGAGAGGAACTCCTTGTGCTGCTCCTCCGGTGTCCCGTCGTCGCCGTTGGACGGTTGAAAGTGCCAGAACTTGAGTCTTTCGATGCTGGCAGCTTCATGCCGCTGCAGCAGATCCTGGGCCTCCTTGCGGCGTGCCTGGGTATTTGCGTCTGCTAATGTCTGTAGCCGCTGCTTCTCAGCTGTTGCCGCTGCTTCAGCCTGTAGGCAGGCTGCCTCGGCTGCCAGTTGGCGCTGTTCCTCAGCCTCGATAAGTGCGAGCTGAGTCTGGAACCGTTGTTTGTAGTCGGCAATAGACTCGTTGGCCAGTTGGCCTGGCATGCCCAGAGCTGCGCCCGTCATGGTGGCGGGGCACTTCTGACGTGGCAGTGTGACGTGGCAATGTTACTGCTGACGTGGCACTGCTGACGAGGCACTGTTGCTGACGTGGCACTGCTGACATGGCACTGTTGCTGACGTGGCACTGTTGCTGACGTGGCACTGCTGACGTGGCATTGTTGCTGACGTGGCACTGCTGACGTGGCACTTGTTATTGACGTGGCACTGCTGATGTGGCACTGTACCGACCCGGAAATGCATGCAAAGGGGTGGGTGGGAGGGAAAACGTAGGTAGGCAACCAACCCAACAATACTTTCCTCCGGCCCTAATCAACAGATAAAAAATAAAAAAATAAAAAAGGACTACTTCCCTTTTTTTTTTTTTTTCGTATATTTGTCGATCTGTTATGAGTGGGACATGTCAGAAGAGTACTATGAACGAGATCTAGGCTAGGTTCCGCAAAGTTTCGGCTTTCACAAAATGCGATCTTGAAAATAAAAAAAAATTTGCGAAATGGAGTAAAGATGCGATTTTCAGAAAAGAACAAAATCCAGTTTCTAAGAATATGGCAATCTCCGAATATGCCTAACAAAATGTTGGTAGGCTTCGCAAGATTTCGGTTTTGAAAAAAAAAATAACGAGATAGAATGAAAATTCGATTTTCAGAAAAGAATAATTCCGGTTTCCGAGAATATGGCCACTTCTATCATTATCCCAATATGCCTAGAAAACGAATACTAACATCAGAAATTTTCAGCTATGTATGTGAAATATCAGAGAAACGAAATGCTACTATCGGGAATTTTCAGACAAAACGAAATGCGATTTATCAGAAATTTTCAGATATTTGTTACGTAAAAACGAAATACCAATATCAGAAATTTTCAGGTAAAACGAAATGCGAATATCAAAAATTTCAGATAGTTTTTGCGAGAAAAAAAAATTCAGAGATTTGACGAAGTCCTTCTTGATTTACTGATGAGTAATCAATAGATCAAGCAAGTTGGCTACTTGATTGAGCGGATCCTCTGAATGAGAGATCCGCTCCGATACCAAACTGTTGCATACTGTAACGGTGCAGACCGGAACAAGAACCAACCTCTCAATACAAAGTACAAGATAGCATAGCGGAAGACTTAGATACCAATGATCCGAACAATCAATATTGCAATGCAGCCCTGAACATACATCATCATCATCGTTCCATGGTGTGAAAGGGGTCTG